AATTGCAAATTCAAGATCAGCCTGGGGCTACAGAATGAATTCCAGATTAGCTTGAACTAGCAAGACCCTGTCTCTGAAAAAGAAAGGGACTAGGAAGATGGTTCAATGGGTAAAGTACTTGCTGTATAAGCATGAGGAACTGAGTTCAGATCCCCACTGTCTATGTAAAAAGCTGGGCACAGTGGTGCCTATCTGCAACCCTATCAGTGGAGTGTAGGGACAGGATGGATTCTAAGGACTCAGTGGCCAGGCAATCTAGCTGAATCAGCAAGCCCCAGGTCAGTGAAAGCCCGTCTCAAAAAAATAAGGTGGAGCCCAACAGAAGAAGACACCTGACATCAGTATCCGGCACACACACACACACACCCAGAGCAAGTGCATGTACATACATCACATATACATGTGTGCATAGACACAGGTATACACACAGAGCTCTTTAGTTATGCAAAGATCTCACGGCCTTTGTTATTCTCTACTTTGTGAACTAAAGGTCTATATTGTGGAGAGATGCTCATAAAATAGAGTTAAGTTAAAATGGCAAGTTTCAAATTTGCTCTTACTGCCTTTCCCCCTTTCCTCCACCCACAAAAACTTGCTGAGCACCCTGTGCTAACAAAGTGATGCTCAGAGCACAGCAGTGTGGTCCCATGGGACTGAGTCCCTGGCTGATGGTCAGGTATGTTGCTTCCACTTTCTCATTAAGACACACAGCACTACAAAAGACATCTTACACATGTGCTTGGGCTTCTTAGGGACATTGGTTCTTGAAGTGTGGTCTGGGTCCCAAGACCAAAGCAATTTTCATAATAATAACAGGCTATTTCCCCTTTTTCATGCTTGCTTGTGAATGCACAGTGGAACTTTCCAGAGAGATCATGATGGGGTATTTTAACAGGTTGACTATGGGAGCAGGTATAACAACATGGATGTTTTCTAATAAGCTACAATAAAAGAGATTTGGAAAAATATAACATACACAGTGACTTCCCTAAATATGTGAGTATGTGTGTATGTGCACACTCATGGAGGCGGAGGTCAGAGGACAACTTTCAAGGAATTCCACCATGTTGGATCCTGGGAATCAAACTCTGGCTTTCAGACCTGGCAGCAATTGCTTTTACCTGCTGAGCCATCTTGCCTGCCTAGTGTGAGGACCAGGGTTTGGATCCCCAGCACCCATGTAATGCCAAGTAGGTTTGGTGATCTCTTGTTATCCCAGTGCAGGATCCCCAGAGCAAGCTGGCTAGCTAGATTGGTGAGATTTGGTTTCCAGTGAGAGACCCTGCTTCAATATATACATGGAGAGAAATTGAGAAAGATACCTGATATGAACCTTGGGCCTCCACATGCATGCACACATGTGTGCCCATATACATGTGAACACAAAGATGACAAGACCACTACCTAATCTGGCAGGGATGGTGAGGATGAGACTTCAGGGGAGCTGAAAGCAGGTAAAGAACATTGACTCTCGTGGTGGAAAATTCCAAAGGCGATGCCTGCATCAAGCATAGATATAGAAGCTCAAATAATGCTTTTAAGGATGTGGAGTCTTTTCTTAGCTTAGAAAATGTGTTTTCTGACACATTTCAACTTGAGAATTTACATCCTTTCAGCATTAAATCCTGTGGGAAGGAAAAAGCTGAGAGCACCTGCCTGAAGTGTTATCTAAGAAACCAGGAAGGAACTAGTCTCCCAAAGTATGCTTTAAGGAACAGCAAGGAGAGGAGGTGGAGGGGGAAGGGAGGGAGGATCAAGTGCATCTTTTTTCATACCCCAGTGTCATGATCATATTGTACAGTGAGCACTGACTAAAAGGAAGAGCTGCTCCTGCTGTTGCTATTATTGATACTGTCCTCATCTGACAGGCAAGCCTTCATTGTTTTTATTGGTTGGAACCCTGCAGAAGAAGGTGAATAGCAGCATGCAGAAACTACAGCCACTCCTGAACTCTAACACCTCTGAAAACATAACTGAAAGCAGCAAATAATGGATAGTGTGTTTGTGACACTGAACCAACCCAGACAGATGGCAGGTTTTCTCTCTGGCAGCTCTGCTCTCCTGTTTGGTGACAAAGCCCACCTCCAGCCAGAAAGGCCAGAAATGCCTTTTCATTCCACATCTCTCTAGTCATGTGCTGGAGTCTGAGTGTTTTTATATCCCAGAACTCACTGAAATATTACCCCAAGGGGACAGTGTTAAGAGATGGGACCCATGCTTTCATGCATGGGATTAATGCCCTTATATTGAAAAAAAAAAAAGCCCCAGAAAGCTATGTTCCATTTCCACCATCTGAGGGCAGAGCAAGAAGACACCATGTTTGAATCAGAGAGCAAGCTCTCACCAGACATGGAATCTGATGCCACCTTGATTGTAGAATTCTCTCCCTCCATGACTTTAAGCAATATATTTCTGTTATTTCTAAATTAACTGGGACTATAGTTTGGATCTTGAATGTTCTCCCAAAGCCTATGTATTAAAGGCTTGATTCCCAGGCTGGTGATTTGGGGAGGTGGCATAACCTTTAAGAGGTGGAGTCAAATGGGAGGCCTTTAGGTTATTGGGGAATGTGTCCTTGAAGGGGTTAGGTAGCTCCTGACTCCTTTGGCTTTTTCTTTGCTTCTCAGTCAGGAGGTCTCAGTAATTTTGCTTCACCACCCCCTCCTTCTGTGATGCTTTACCACAGGTCCAAAGCAACAGGATAAACCAGTCATAGACTAGACCTCCAACATTGGAAGCCAAAGTAAACCTTCTTTTGTTAAGTGATTACCTCAGGTATTTTGTTGCAGTGACGGAAACCATAGTAACACATTTAGTCTAAAATATCTTCTGACAGCAGCCAAAACAGACTAAGACAAAATTTGGTACTAAGAAGTGGTGTGTTGTTAACATATCTAAGAATGTAGACGTGGTTTTAGACCTGGGTGATGGGAAGAGGCTGGAAGAGTTTTGAAATGTATGTTGGAAAAACCCTAAATTACTGTACATAGATCCTGAGGGAGATTCTTGGAAGGGCTCAGAAGAGAAAAGCTATAGAGCAAACCTCTGTCCTCTCAGAATCACCTGCGCAGAGAGGAGGCTCTTTGGCAGACGTCAGGCAAAGTGTTGAGGGCATGGCATAGCTTCTCTGGATTGCTCAGAGTACAATGTAAGGAGAGAATTGGAGATGGAATTTATAACCAAAATGGACACAGACCTTGAAAATTTGGCAAACTCTCAATCTGGCCATATTGTAAAGAATGAAAAAGCCTATGTCAAAGAAAACAGTAAAGATGTGGCCAAGGATAAGGATTAGCTTGGCTGGCTGGACGTCAGATGCTGCTCCTTGAGAGTAGACTGACTGCCAAGGCTTGCTGGAGATCTTTGGGACTGCCCTGCCCTGCTCTTTCTGGCAAGAATGTTAGCTCCTTGGGAGCAGGATGGTTTCTGGGCTCTGTCCCTTGCTTTATAGTGCAGCACTCTGGCCACCCAGGTGTGGTTCAAGCAGGCCCAGGCACATCTGAGGCCACCAATGGTGGAACGTGGACAGCAGCTGCAGGGTGCCGTCCCCACGAATAGGCAAAGGGCACAGGCTCTGTGGCCATGGCTCCCTCCACCTCAGTTTCAAAGGACAATCTTAAGACCAGGCAAGAATTGCCTCAGGGTAAGGAACACCAGAGAAAGCCTTGTTAGGGCAAAGCCTAGCACATGGGGGCAGAGGCCCCAGAATGGTAAATTTGCCAGTAAGCAACTGCAACCTGCAAGACTCCAATCTGTGAATGTTCGCAGCAAAGCCAGAGAGGTGGGGCTTCCAGAGCTTGGAGGGCCAGCCAGCCCCCAACCCAGTGTGTCTGGAAGGTGAGACATAGGACTTAGGGGAAGATTTCTTCTCCGGCTTTAAGATTTAATGATTTTGTCTTATTGAATTTTGTATTCTTAAGACTCCCTCCCTTCCCTCCCTTTCTCTTTTCTTCTTTTCTTTCTTGTGAGGTAATAAGCTCCCTATTATCTAAGCTATCTTTAGTTTGTTCCTTATAACCTAAAGCATCCTAACCCATACACATGATTTAGAAAATGTAGAACTGGTACATTGCATTGCCCCAAAACAGTCTTGTTTGTTTCTTAAAGACGGCCAGGCTGTAACTATTGGCAAAACTGTAATACCCTGATAGTAGAAAATATGACTTTATTACATGTGCCCTGCTCAAAGTCTCAGCATAATTACAAATGCCCAAGAAGAAAATTTGAGACAGGGTCTCCCTGTAGCCACAGCTGACCTGGTTTCTCTATGGAGACCATGCTGGCCTTGAACTCACAGAGATCTGCCTGCCTCTGCCTCCTGAGTGCTGGGATTAGAGGCACATGCTACCATGTCTGGCTAAGAAGAAAATTTTTTGATGATTAAACAGATTGTTAGATTTTTTTCCATTTATGTTCAAGATACAATAAATGTTAAGTGCCAAGGTTTGTTCTGGACACTGGGTAAACATTCTTAGCCTAACAAGTTCTTCCCCTGTGGAGCCCTGTGTTGGTTACTTTTGCATTGCTGTGACCAAAATGCGAGAGAGTGACTTAAAGGAGGAAGACTGATTTGGCTCATGGTTTAAGAGGGTTCAGCCCGGTCACCTGGCTATATGTTTCTGGGTCTGTTGTGAGGCTGAACATGACAGAGTGTATGTCAGAGAAGCTTCTTCACCAAATGGTAGTTGGAAAGTAGAGAGAGAGATAGAGAGGAGCTTGGGACAGGATACAGCCCATAACAACAAATCCCCAGTGACCCCCTTCCTCCAGCTATCCCCCACCTCCTAAAGTTTCCAGAACCTCCCAAATTAGCACTACCATCTGGGGTTCAAACATTCAACCTATGAGCCTGTAGGGAACATTTTGTAATCAAATCATAACAAACCTCTAGATTAGGGAGGGTAGAAAATAAAGAATTAGAATGCAAAGAGCAAAACCTTTCTGTAGGGTGATGAACAGGGAACCGTGAGAGCCTAGAGGAGTGCATTCATTCATTTGATTGCTCAACATATTTATTGATGGTCCACAGTGTGTTAGGAACAAGAGGAAAGCAGCACACAGTTCCTGCTCTTGAGTTGCTTTCGGTGGAGTAGAAGAGAGAGACACATGGCTGGCTCTCCACAAGTGCTAGTGCTGAGATGAAAACACCTCAGAAGACAACTGCCACAGTCTGGGGTGCTGAAGACAAGGTACCCAAGATGCAAGGGTGGGCAATGCAAGGAAGACTGCAGCAAAGGTAATTTCAAATACAATGAAAACAGTGGGCAGAGTGGAGGTTGTCAGGAGGTGGTAAGAGTGGACAGTGGCAAAAGAGCTGGTCACTGGATCCTGACAAATCTTGTATGCTGTGCTAAGGAGTCTGGACTTTTTCTGAGGTTAGTGGGCAAAGAGGAGGTTTAAACAAGGAAGGGAGTGGTTAGATGTTCACTGCAGAAAATCACTGGCTGCCAAGTAGCGATGGTTTAGAGGGTGAAATTCTAGAGACAGGATACAGTTAGAAGATATTAAAGTTCTCTTTGCAAAGCACTGGTAATGGCTGGCCTCAGAGCAGAGATGGAGACATGGGCTGATTGGAGAACTATTGGAGAGGCTTAGTCATCAGGGAGAGAAGGGTGCTGGTTTCTGACCTCAGCAACTGAGAAGACAGAATATGAGAGGCTGGGACTGGGGGTGTCACTGGGTCTCTTTGGGGAGTGTTGAACTTGAAGGTCCTGTGTGGTAGTCAGATGGAGATGCCCTGCAGGCAGCCCAGCCTGGAACTGGAGAGATGGCTCAGCTGGAGTCTGCAGTGTGGAAGTTGCCAGGTAGAGGGGGCATCTGAGCCCATGGGCACTGGTGACATCACTTAGGAATATTTAGAGGGAGATGAGAGAGCAGAGATGAGAAAGCCAGGCATGGAAGAGAGAGCAATAATAAGAGAAGTAACTACAAAAATTACAGATGGGGATGGCAAGCCCCTGAGCTCTCATCCGGAATATGCTGGTACTGAATGGTGCTGACCCAGGACTGTTCCTGAGGAAACCTACTTTTCCTGTTACATTGTCAGCACATCTATTGCAAAAGAGAACTGTCAAGTAAGTCAGAAGGTCACTTTGTCCTTCGTTGGTTGCTACAGTGCCACCTAAAATCAAGAAAAAAACCTCGGTAAGAACTTGGTTCTCTTTGGTCAGTGTGGTCTGCATGATACACATAATGTCACTGGGGTTTGAGGAGTGTGGAGGTGGGGAGGGTTCACGAGACCAAATCCCACTTCTGCCCTGCTTTTACAGACTAGACACTTCTGCCCTGCTTTTACAGACTAGACTCTCAGAGCACACCACAAGAATCCTTAGTGGTGACTACAGCCCACAGCCTCTCTACGAAGGCAGTGGGTGGGATCAGGGAGGGAGACTGGAATGCTTAGCTGTGGTTTAGCTGGGGATGGGAGCCTGGAGGCACAATCAAACACCAACATTTAAGATCTCTCAGAGTCACAGAAACCAAGGGAACAAAAGGGTTGAGAAATGGGAGTCTCACAAGTGTAAGCCTGAGCCTGGTGTCCCCAGGGCAGAGTATCATTGGAACTGGGGCCGTGTGTGTGTGTGTGTGTGTGTGTGTGTGTGTGTGTGTGTGTGTGTTGTGGGGGAGCTGGCTCTTCTAAGGTTTGGGAAGTGCTTGCATTAACACAGCTCCATAGAATTCCCATGGAATACTTACTGAAGTCCAACCATTCTTGATTTTTTAAAATAAGCTGTGTAAACCCTTTTCAGCTTGCCAAAAAGTAGTTTTCGGATGCTGGTTCTCAGAGCTTGCAGGGATTTCAATGTCATCGTAGTCATTTTCAGGCACGGAAAAGGTCTTGTTTCTAACTTTTTTCACTGAGGAGTATGACGCCAGTGACTGGCTTGGGGTTTCCTGTGGGGCTAAAGTGTAGAAAAAGGTCGTTATATGCAAAGCTATTTTCTGTTGATTTATTTTTGACCAAGTGGCTCAATATGCGCTTTGAACAAGTTATGGATCTTCCCACTTCCGGGGGGGGGCAATTCCCCACATCACAGAGGAAAACAAGGCTCAGACATGATACAGGTCTCAGGTCACCCAAGTGGGTGAATGGCAAATGTTAGTCAGACATCTTGAGTCCCACATCTCTGCTTTAAGACCTCAGTTCACGGGAACCATGAATCAAACACTTAGGAAGCAGACCGGTATGACCTCTGGGTGACCACTGTTGTGTTTCCTCAGATCCCCATTCTTACAAGGAGGCAATAGAGACCACATTTCCTTGTTGGTACTTCCCTCCCAAAGTCTCGGGCTGCTTCCCAGGACTGTTTCTGAATGCCTACATACAAATCTGTCGGCTAAGAAGGAAGGAAACGACGGTGCCTTCGCGGGCAGAATCTGTGTAGAGCCTGTAGCAGAAAGGTGATTGCTAAAGTTGTTCATGACCTGAGTGTGAATCCCTAAGCTTCATGTGTTGGAGAGTTGGTCACCAGTGTGATGGTGATAAAAGGTGAAGGGACCTTTATGAGGTGGAGCCTAGTTGAAAGTGATATGGGCCTTTCTCTCCCTTTTCTCTGCTACCCCGACCTGCCATGCACTCTCACTGTCACATAGGCTCCTGCCATGATGCCCTGTGCACCCTGTGATGCAGGCAAAAGGTTCCTCATGCTTTCTGGTGCCATGCTGTTTGGACATTCAGCCACCAAGACTGTGAACTAAATAAACCTCTTTTTAAAGTGTCTAACCTCAGGTATTTTGTTACAGTAACAGAAAAGGAACTAATACAACAATGAAACAGCATAGCTATACCAGTAATGGGAATCAGAATTACCTCCAGCACACCTTTTCCCAAGAAAATTATAAAAAATTACCGCCATTTCATTTCCTGTAGAAATGAGTTCATGGTTAGGCTCCAGTACTCCTTAGTTTATGCCTATAGGCAAATCACCTAACTTCTCTGGGCCTTGGCATATCCTTAACTGTTACCTGTACCACAAAGTTACAAGGATTAAAATGAGACCAGACCTAACAGGGGACCTGACACACAGTGTATACCTAACAAATATTAGCTAATGTTACTGTTTATTGATTCAATCAAAATATATTACATGCTGGAGAGAGGGCTCAGTAGCAAGAGCACTGGCTTCTCTTGCAGAGAACCTGGGTTCAGTTCCCAGCATCCACACTGTCTCACAACTGTTTGTAACTCCAGTTCCAGAGGCTCTGATGCCTTCTGCTGGCTTCCACAAGCATTGCAGGCATGTTGTACACATATATACATGCAGGCCAGACACTCATACACATAAAATAAAAATAAATGAATGAAACTTTATTTATTTATTTATTATTTATTTTTTGGTCTTTTTGAGACAGGGTCTCCCTGTAGCCCCAGCTGTCCTGGAACTCACTATGTAGACCAGGTTGGCCTTAAAAAAAATTGGTCTTTTTGAGACAGGGTCTCCCTGTAGCCCCAGCTGTCCTGGAACTCATTATGTAGACCAGGCTGGCCTTGAACTCACAGAGATCCACCTGCCTCTGCCTCCCGAGTGCTGGGATTAAAGGCGTGCACCACCATCCCGGCAACAAAACTTTATTTTTTAAAATCTTAATAAACATTCACCAAGCTGTTGATACTGTTCCAGATGGTGGGTGGATGGTGGTGAGACATGATGGCCTTCCATTTAATATTCCAGTGGAGGTTAGATAAGGACTTTAACAAGAACTGAAGGGGACAATTTGGGATAGCTTTTGTACATTTCATGAAGGGAAAGCATAGAGCTACCTCAGGTAGGGAGGATAGGAGACACTTGTCTGAGGTGGTGGATGCCTGAAGGACAAGGCAAAACCAGCTTTTCAGAGAGCTTAAGGAGAGAACCAGGTAAGAGCCAGGCATAGCAGTGCAGACCTGTAAGCCCAGCACTTGGGAGATGGAGGCAGGAGGACTAAGGAGTATAAGGTCATCCTTGACTACTAAGGTAATTTGAGGCCAACCTGGGCTACATGAGACTCTGCCTGAAAAAATACAAAAGAGGCTAGGGAGATAACTTGATAAAGTGCTTGCATTGCAAGTGGGAGGACCCAAGTTTGATCCCTAGAATCCACATTAAAAAAAAAAAAAAGCCATTTGCGGTGGTCATGGTAATCCCAGTGCTGGGAAGACAGAGACAGGTAGATCCCTGGGATTCACTGGCCAGCCAGCCTAACCTGCTTACTGAGTTCCAGGCCAGTGAAAGACTGTTTAAATAAAAGGATGGAGCCAGGCATGGTGGGTGTACATCTTTAATTCCAGCACTCATGAGGCAGAGGCAGGTAGATCGCTGAGTTTGAGGCCAACCTGGTCTGCTACTGAATTCCAGGCCAGCTGGAGCTATAAGGAGACTCCGTCTTAAAAAACCAACCAACCAAACAACAACAAAAAACAGCAGGTGGATGGTATCAGGAAAGACAGTCGAGGTTGTCCTCTGCACACGCATGCACACATTCACTCATGACCCCACTTACACACATGAAAGTGCACCCCCAATGTGACTGTATTTGACAGGCCTTGGATCCACTAAAATTAGTGAGGATTAGTGTCCTCACAAAGCACTCTCACTTTCTTCTCCCCACTCAGTGCAGTGGGGCCGGCCATGGGAGGACACAGCAGGAGAGCTGCAGCTGGAGTGTCAGCAAAAGGGATTGGGGGGCGGTGAAAGCACTTGCAAGGCAAGCCTGATGACATGGGTTTGATCCCTGAACCTCTGTAATGGTGAAAGGAGAAAGCCAACTCCACACAGTTGTCCCTGCCCACACATGTGCTGTGGTAGGTTTGTGCCCTGGCAAGCATGTGCATGCGTGTATACATACGCATACACACTCACACAGTAATAAAGAGAAAGGGGCAGTCTGAAAGCCAGGACCAGCCTTCCCCAGAAACCAAACTGGCCAATACCTTCTGACCCCCAGCCTTCAGAATTATGAGAAAATAGTTTTCCTATTGTTTAAGCTGCCTGGCCTATAGTATTTTTGTTATGGCAACATGAGCTAAACAAGACACCAGTAAATTCGTTACCTTACCCTGAATGAAACTGTTATCAGGACAGTTTACTTACTGAAGTCTCCTGGGGAAAGAGAACCCCTGTGTGGCAGAGGGGGTACTAGACCTGGTGATGAATTAAGAACATTCCTAGAGAGAGGGAGAGAGAGAGAGTCAGTCAGTGACTGGATCAAGCCTATTGCCAGCAGATGTGTAAGAAAACATTAAGGCAGGTTGAGTAGGTTAAAGATTTAAATCTAGGTTCCTACAAATTGGAAGCATTTCTTTCCTTTTTGATTCTGCATTCCATTTGTAACTGTCACCCTAAAGGAACCCAATTCCTGTAGCCAGGGACTGGACAGGGATTGAGCATTATGATTAGAGCACAGAGCACACCCTCCTGAGTGAACCTGAGCTGTATTAAGCCCAGGAGCTATGCATCAGGCATATTTCAATTTGCCGAACAGATGCACTCCCTCCTGAAGTTTAAAATCAACACCCGGCCCGAAGTCTCATTGCTGGGTCTATTCCTTACCAAAATCTCTTATGTTTGCACAGATGTGTCTAGAATGTTTGGAGCAGCACTGTTCACAGCAGCCCTGCTGTTCAGGATGTTGAATGCCCCCTAAAGGCCCAGCTTGCCACTGTTGGGAAGTGGTGAAAAATTTAAGGGTTGGAGCCTAGTAGGAAATTTCCAGATCATTGAAGGCCTGTGTTCAAGGAGGACTGTGCACCTCAAGTCCCTTCTGCCTAGCCCCACCTCTCCTTTTGTTCCTGGCTCTGAGGTGAGCAGTTTTGCTCTGCTGTGCACTCTCCACCAAGATGTACTGCCTCTTCATAGATTCAAAGTAACAGGCCAACCAATCATGGATTAGAAAATCCAAAACTGTGAGCCAATATAAACCTTTTCTCTTTATAAGCTGGTCATTTCAGTCATTTATTATAGTAACAGAAGGTCACAAACACAGGCCTTAAACTTCACATCCTTTGTATTAACTCCTGAGCAACATAATTATCAACCATCACATTGCCCAGGCACCCACTAACAGTAGAAGAGGCACCATGACCTATTCCTACAGTAGAATGCTCTATAGGAAAGAGAATGGACAGTCTACAGCTACACTCCATGGCTCTCACAAAAATAACATTGAGCTGGGGGTACAGCTCAGTAGTAGAGTCTTAGCATGTTACGTGCAAGGCCTTGGGACTGATCCCCAGCACTGAAAAAAAAAAAGTCAACTAGAAGATGCCAAACAGCAAATAATACAAACTGTATGATTCCATTTGTTTGAAGGGCAAAACAAGAGAAAACCCTAGCTGATTCTATTCCAGATAGTAGGTGTTTTGGGGGTGCCATGACTGGTCATGGAAGGTAGAGTCTGTGGTGTTGGTGAGAGCCACCCCTGACCTGGGAGCCGGCTACTTGTGTCTGCTGTTGCTGGTCATGGGAACTTGCTACATTGAGCCCTGCCTGGGAGCATTTTTCTGTAGTAATATACTTCAGTAAGAAGTTTAACTGTAGTACCAGCTGTAGTAAAGGTGATGTTTGGACATCTACCTGTGTGATACACGGCTGTTTTGCTTATCAAGGGGCTCAAAATAGGTGAGGAGAGGTTTCTTTGAGCCCCAATAAAAGCCATTTTAGAAAAGTATAGGTTTTGGTGCAGAGAGTGTCTACAACCCCAAGGAAGGACAAGCCCTTAACTGGCTCCTAGGTGACACTTAGCTCTTAGAATATCTTGCTGGCAACTGTTATCATTATGCATCTGGCACCTTGGCCACCCCAGATGGTTATGTTCCAGATATCATGGTAAATGCCTGCTTTGGTTTTCCTAGGCTCCTGAGTCATGTGTTTCAATCTGATAATTGCTAGAGCTGGAAACTGAGTAGCTTAGGTAAGTCACAGAAGCTCTCTATGGTGACAAGCACCGCCCCATCCCCTGAATCCTGGGCACCAAGGCTCAGGTGACCTTCTCTCTCTGTGATGTTCACATGTGTTGTCGTACATCGTTGCTGGGAGCCATCCTCAGAGCCACCAGAGGAGGACAGCTGGAGGGTGTGTCTGCTTTCTCCTAGACTCCACTCCTTTCCTTTTCCCTTTGATGATTTTAATCTTTTTGTATATGGGGGGGGTGTTGAATTAAACTGTTGACTGTGACTGTAATAACTTCCAGGTTCCATGAATCCCTCTGGTGAATCATCCATTCTAAGGGTAGCATTGGGGACCCCCAGCACAAATAAAAGACTTCCAAGCACATCACAAAAAAAGCAAAGCAAATGTCCTTTTATTTTTATTTTTCCTAGCATAATAGCTTTTTCAGAGGACTATAGACTGGGCTTAGAACATAACACCCACTGGTAACCTCTGTCAAAACAGAGGTAATCAGGGGACCTTGGGTATCAGAGAGTGTACCCACAATGCTCTGAGGACCCCTCAGCCACCCCTTCCCCCGGCTGCAGAGTGGAGAAGGTTGTCAGATACATTGTACAAGCTCCACAGGCAAAGGGGTGTTGCAGTCCCCAGAGCAGCAGTGGAAGGGACATGGCACAGTGAACAGATGGTTCTCAAAACTGAACAGCAGGAGCACCCCACTTACTCATACATCTTTTCTTCATCTCCTCGACTCTTTTTCAAGGACTTGGTAATTTCCCATTTCCTGCCTAAGGGGGAAAATGATATTAAGGACACATTAGCAAAAGCTATGATTTTGGAAGACAGAAGTCTTCAGAGACCAAGCAGGCCCAGGTCATTTGGAAAGAACCTGCCAAGAGGGAACAAACTTAGGAACAGCATAGCTAGCAAGTGACAGAGCTGGCATGCACACCCAGGCCATGCAACTGCAGAGCCTGGGTGGTAACTCTGGGCAGGCAGCAGCCATGTGGGCTATTTCTCCATTGCCTCATACTATCCCTCGCACTTTGTAGGCTGTGTAAAAAGCCAGACAGGCTTGGGAGGAAATGAGATAAGGGACAGGTAGAATGGGTTGTGCTGTGATGTGTTGGGTGTGTACGTATTTATTGTAACCTGCTTGCTAATATGAATCGTTCAGGATAAAATAGGGCAAGCAAGGTTTCTGTCAAGGTTATATTTTTGTCCATATTTGAGAATAAAAATTTTAAGAAAATGGATAAACTGGGCATAGTAACATACATCTATAATCTGAGCACTTGGGAGGCAGAGGCAGGAGGATCATTAGTTCAGGCCAGCCTGTGCTATGGGAGACACTGTTCAAAAAAGCAAAACAAGAGAAGAAATAGGAAAAAAGAGACTTCAAATGGATAGGGGAGTGTACGACCCCAATTCCACCACCTCCTCCTGGGACACCTCCAGAAGGCCCTGACTCCTTCTGAACTTCTCATCACCTCTGCAAAGAGGTTGGGAAGAGTGACAAAAAGATTGTGCTTCTAATGCAGCCTTGAGCTTTCAGCGCTGCGTTGAGCAGGTACCTGGGAGGACAGTGCCCTGATCCTTGAGGTGACCTGCCCAGGTGGTACCCTGCATGCTTCTTAAGAGTTGATCATCTCCAGGTGTACTCCTGGCTTAGGCCACCTTTTTTTTTTTTTTTTTTTTTTTTTTTTTTTTTTTTTTTTTAAAAAAAAAAAAAGAGGACGATAAATCTTTCACTGTGATATATCAAAATAACAACTTCATTCGCCCTTTTTTTTTTTTTTTTTTTTTTTTTTTTTTTTTTTTTTTTTTAAAGGGACAGGCTCTCAAGGCAACATACCACTGAACAGGGTTTCTTGTTTATGGAGATGAATAGCAAACTGAAAAACTCACTTGGAGATAATCTAAAGTTAGTGATAATCTCCACACAGTAAATCACTCTGGTCAAAGTGGGGATAATACGAGAAAACACCCCCAGGCAGGATGTGGTGACACACATCTTTAATCCCAACACTCAGGAGGCAGAGGCAGGCAGATCTCTGAGTTAGAGACTAGCCTGGTTCCAGGCCAGACAGGGCTACAAAGTGAGATCCTGTCTCATAAAAACCCAAAAAAGAAAGAAGAAAGCCAGTCTTGGAAAGGCAGTCTTGATGGCAAAACACACCCATTATGGGTGGAGTCTGCATGTCAGAGAACAGACTTGCCCAGTTGTTGTCTATTGCCCTTTTTCAAGCTCCAGAGACAGTATAAGCAGCCAGGCAGAAACAGCACTTCAGCATGTTGAGTCCTGAAACAGATTCTGATCCTGCTTCTACCCAAATCCTCTGGGCCTGCAAGGTATCTGGAAATTAGTTAAGCCCCTCCCCTTTACTGTACATGTGGGCAGGGACAGAAGTTAATGGCAGGGCCCAAACCCAGAGTGCATGCTGCCCAATCCAAGTTCAGCCCATTCAGGCCTAGAACTGATCATGAGCTCTGCTCCACCAATAGTCACCCACCACTACCTCCACCTGCTCAGGTAAAGTGACCATTACCTTGTCTAAGCTGCCACCTGCAGACACAGTACAGGATAAGACCTAGGACCAAGGAGACAACGATCATGGCCACAGCTAAGATGATCCAGAAATTGTTCCTCCACCAACTCATTGCAGTGGAATCCTATAAGAATAGACACAGAAGCCTGAGGTGTGAGTGGAAAGTGTCCCCAGGTATGGTGGAGCTGCCATCTACCCATGCTTCCTGAGACCTCTGCTTAGGAGCCAGATAGTCAAACCTTACAGACAACCTTGGAGCAGCCAGGTGTGGGCAGGTCACTTAACCTTTTCTGAGACTGTGTCATCTGTAAAATGGGCCTGATGCTGTGTATAGCTCCACAAGGGTTTGTGAGGATTTGAGATAGCTATGCACCTACCAGGTACTCCAGAGATAGTGGACATAATCACTGCTTGCTTATACTGCCAAGACACAGCAGCAAGGAGAAATACTACTGAAAGCAATAGCTGACTGCAGTTCTTATATCAAAAGGACAAGATGCATGGTTTATAATTGAGGACAGCTTTTTTTTTTTTTTAAGTTTGGGGTTAGGAAAAATATGTTGATGAGTGCTATGGTTTGAATATGGCTTGTCCCTACTAAAACTCATGTTGAGGCTTGGTTCCCACATCATAGTGTTGAGAGGTTGTGGGATTTAATGTATATATTATGTATTCTTTTTATGTATATGAGTGTATTGCCTGCATGTATGTAAGTGCACCCATGTCATGCAATGTCCACAGAGGTCATAGAGGGTACCAGATCCCCTGGAACTGGAGTTACGGATAGTTGTTAGCAGCTGTGTGGGTATAGGGAACCATATTCTTTGCAAGAATAGCCAGTGCTCTTAACAGCTGAGCCTTCTCTCCAACCAGGTTTTAGGATTTTTATGAGGCATTTGGATGTGGGTGTGGTGGCTTATATTTGTAATCCCAATACTCTGGCACCTGAGGCCTCAAGTTCAATGCCAGCCTGGGCAAGACCCTGCTTCTAACAAACAAGTATCCGCCCCCCCCCCGCCAAAAAAAAAGAGATATCTGTGTCATGAAGGGTCCACTGTCATGAAGGGATTAACATTATTTTATATGAGGGAACCTTTACTCTTGCAATGCCTAGTTATCTCTTCTGGCTACACCCAGTTCCCTTCTGGCCATGAGTTGCTGTGGAGGCCCTCACCAGAAGCTGCACTGATCTTCTTAGACTTCCTACTTTATCTCTAATCCTCTAATCAATCCTGAACCAAATTAAATTTTTTTAAAAAGTTTAAAATTTGTTATTATTGTATGTGTGTGCACACCCCTGTTTGATGGTATGCACATGGAAGTCAGAGGACAGCTTTTAGGAACTGGTTCTCTCCTTCTACCATGTGGGTTTTGGGGATGGAACTCAGGTTGTCGGGCTTGCATGGAAAGCGCCTTTACCCCACCGGGTCATCTCGCTGCCTAAAGTTCTTTTCTTTAGAAGTTATCCAGTCTGCTATAGTAACAGAAAACAGTGATTCTCTTTGAGTGTGGCTCAAGCTGAAGATGCAGTCAGCAGTCAGCTGAGTTAGTATACGAGAAAAAGTGACAGGGAAGCTGGGCGTGGTGGCGCACACCTTTAGCCCCAGCACTTGGGAGGCAGAGGCAGGTGGATCTCAGAGTTTGAGGCCAGCCTGGTCTACATAGCGAGTTCCAGGTCAGTAGGACCTGGGTTTGGTTCCTAGCAACCACATGGCAACTAACAACGTTTCATAACTTCAGTTCCAGGGGATCTAATGCCCTCTTCTGGCTTCCACAGGCTCTGCATGCACATGGTCTCCTTCCATACATGCAGGCAAAACACTCATACATATAAAATACATTTTTTGTTTTGTTTTGTTTTTTTTTTTTTTTTTCCATTTGAGGCAGGGTCTCCCTGTAGCCCCCGGGTCCTGGAACTCACTATGTAGACCAGGCTGGCCTTGAACTCACAGAGATCCACCTGCCTCTGCCTCCCAAGTGCTGGGACTACAGGCATGCGCCACCACGCCCGGCTAAAATAATTTTTTTTTAAAGTACCAAGAATTTGAATCTAAAGATTGACAGACTAGAGAAAAAGAGTCTTAGAAGAGGTTAGCAACAGAGGGTGAGGAGACGAAGAAAGCAAGTCAAACCATAGTTAGAAAGTCCTTTAGTGGATATGACCAATGTATTTAGAGGGGAGTTATGTGTAACCTCAGTTTCAACAGCATCCTTGAGGCTGTTTTGTAACCTCCTGTTACCATTAAATCTTCAGTAAAATGCAGAACCCCCAGAAGCTTATATGGGCAGAGCCTGGGGGCTGAGTGACATAGGTGCAGTGGTTTCCCAACTCAGAGGGGATACGTAGTCAAGTGGAGTAAATAGCTGATCTGCGAGGCTCCAGGTGATGGTGGGGAGCCGACTGTGGGAGGTACTGGCTTCCAGGAATTCAAGAGAGCTTTCTGGGAGAGGCTGAACTCTTCATTTGTAGAATGGTCATTTTGATAGTTCATTTGGATACTTTGGTCAAAAGGATCCTTGAGAGATCCTGAGACATATTGTAGCATCTTGGTTATATGAAAAGCAACTTCCTGGGTCATTGTTCAGCCCATGGAGACTTACTCATGCATATTCATGCAGTACCACCTTAGATTATGCTTCAAGTGATAGTCATAATGTTTAAAAGCTATCTCTGCAGGTGCCAGAGAAACAAGACAGTACCATGCTCCTGTAAAGCAAGCCTGCCATCCCCTCCCCTACAATAAAGTTATATATGGGGAAAAAATAAAATCAGTAATGTATGTACAACAAGCACTCTGCTAGACATGCTGTTCTGCATTTAACTCTTTTGCTCTCTGTGCTTTTGTAATTTATCCATGTCAGTATATATACTGAGGATTTATTCTTTTTTTAAAAAAAAATTATTTATTTGACCAGGTGTGGTGGCATATGCCTTTAGACCTAGATAGAAGCAGGTGGGTGAGTTCAAAGCCAGGCTGGTCCACTATAGCATAGCTATACAATGAGCTCCTGTCTCAAAAAAGTCAAAAAGAAAAATAAAATATTTATTTTTTGTGTGTGAGTGCTTTGCCTGCATGTATGTATATGTACCATGTTCATGAAGTGCCCCAAAGAGGCCAGAAGAGGGCATAGGATCCCCTAGAACTAGAGTTACTGACAGTTGTTAGCTGTCATATGGATGCTGGGGACCGAACCCAGGTCCTCTATAAGAGCAGCCAGTGCTCTTAATCACTGAGCCATCTCTCCAGAGATTTATTCATACGGGTTGGGCGAGTCAGTTCCTAGAGTTCACTCCCTCAAGCACACACACTGTGGAGGTTTTGTTGTAGACCACTTTTCCAGGGTATGCAAAAAGAAGACAAGAGAGGGAGAAGAACCCAGGAAAAATGATCCAGGATGTGGGAAATGCTCTTAGCACATGCCTGTGGGGTTTGGTTTCACAGGGCCCCCAGAAGTCAAAAGAACACGAGGTGTAAGAAGGGGGTCACATATCAGAAGATAGCCTCCCGACTCAACCAGCAGAAATTGTAATGTTACTTCCTTTAGCCTTGAGAAACCAGATAGACAGATAGGTGGGTTGGTGGATAGATAGATAGACAGAAATTTCTTCCTTTCATTTTGTTGGTCTATTTTCCTCCTATTCAAATGTTTGTCTCTTGTGTTTTGTTCCTCTGTACGCTCACATTTCTATCAATTTTTTAAAACTGGATGAATTTCTCAAAAAAAAAAGCCACATATATCTGCACTTTAGAGCTAAAGAAGTTAATACCAGGAAATAAGGGTTAAAAGCTGTTGTACTGGAAGACTGGGTAGAAGGGGAAGTTGGGGCACCACACTTACTGTCAACCCTCTGTGAAACTGGATCCTTAAACTATTTGCATTCACTCTGACAAAACTTTAAATAAATAAAAAAAAGAGTCCATCAAGCCATGCAGCATACCTTCTCCAATAAGACATCACTGAAGTTTCAAGGTCAAGTAAATTTTATTTTCATCAGGCTCTTAGGAAAAGAGGAAGCAGAGTGATGTTGCCAGAAACAAAATCATGGATCATTTCAGAGCTGCCCAGAGGGATAAATGTTTTGTTTTCTTCCCAGTTTTTTTTTTTTTCTTCCATATAAGATTGGTCTAATTTGCCATCAGATTTTTCAAGTGTGTTGAGAGCCCTGAAAAGTTTAAGTATATTCTCATCTCAGCTCATTTCATTCTCTACCTTCACCCTGTTCGTCAGATGGGGAGTGAAGACCAAGATCACCCAGAAAGGCCAGAATACTTTCCCCTATGTCATAGGGCCTCGCTCTGTTGGTGTTGATAATGATATCCTAAGTCATCATGGAAAGCCAAACATGGTTCATGTCTTGCTTCAGAAGGAGCATCATTGTGCACTGGTTCAGTGATGTTGGGGATCCCCCAGAGTGAATGTTCAGGGCCTATGATGGAGATTAAAACCCCAAGTTGCTCACATTCTAAGCTCAGAGAAGCAGCAGAGCAGTTGCCCCTTCTTAGACTGCTGAGAGATGCCTTTTCAACACAGCAGGGGGTAACTTGTCTTTTTGAGAGAGCTGAAGGGAATCACATTCCATTTCAGTCAGAGGCTACCTAGGCCACAAGGCTAGATCAATGATTACAGTGGTTTCAGAGGGGAAAGGGGCTCTGGGAAGAGATGGGGGTGGGAATGCAGAGAGACTGGGCAGTGCCTGCACCATCAAATCCAGGCTCTGGAAAGGTATAGAAGCCAGATCTTACCCTTGCTACAAGCCCACACTGCAGGTAGAGCCAAGAGGGTACACAAGATTGTGGGGTACAGGGCTGCTGAGAGCTGCTGCCTGGGACAAAGAAGTGCCTTCAGAGAGGATGTTGAGAATCAGCCCAGAGATGTGGCTTTGTCTCTCAGAGGACAAGAGACTTCTCATGGGCAATTATGTGAGAGGCTGAGGAAGGAGGATCACTTGAGCCCAGGAGTTTGGGGCCAGCCTGGGCAACATAGTGAGACCGAGACCCTGTCTCTTTAAAAATGTCTTGCTGGGCATAGTGGTGTTAGCCTTTAATCCCAGTAGAGGAGGCAGAGACAGGATCTCTGTGAGATCAAGGCTAACCTGGTCTACATAGTGAGTTCCAAGCCAGC